TCATTTTCACAATACTTTCAAGTTTGTAATCCCCATCTCGATTGCTGTCACTCAGTAATGCTAAAATGATAATCACTTTTTAAATCAGGCAAGAATTAAAGGTACAGATATTTTTCCTTTCTGCTGAATATAATGGACTCAAAGAAAAAACAATTTTAAACAATTTACTGATTGAGGATACGACAAGTTTATTAACAGAAAAAACGATAATAAAATCTCACCAGTGAGGTAGTTGATGACTCTTTGTTTAATATTAGAAGTACACAGTTGCATTGCAAATTCACAGAGGGAAATATTAAGGCTGTCACAGTGCTTCACGTTTTCATCACCATCATCAGCTGCATCAGTGGGACCATCATTGCCACCAGACCTAGTGGATACCCAATGGTGAATAATACACAAGCACAGTTCTTTTCCACATGCACTCTTTCAAATAAACAAAAATGCAAATAAATAGGTACACTCATGACCATATTAAGAATAGAGAAAAAATTAAGCATAATCACTGAACTAATAATGATATTTTAATTAAATACACATGGAATCGCAATAAAAGTAACCACAAGTGAAGCTCAAATCTCAATCACTCTCACTCTGTTTCACTGTCTTAGTCTCTCCATATATCATTCTCATTGTCTCCATGGTAATAAAAACACTTACTTTCGTTTTTTACTTTTCTTGGTCTTGGGTGTCTCCTTGCACAAGTATGGAAACCCACTCATGAGTCGGGATGAGAACTTTGGCTGGAATTCTGTTAGCACCCACTTTGACTGAGAGAAAATTAAATATGATAAAATAATGTGTTTTTACAAATATAAGCTGTCTAATCCAAAATATATACAAAGACAAAAGTTGAAATTTAAAGATGTGGAGTGTCCAGCCCTGTAAATTTAAATCCTTGAAAGTAACAAAATCAACTATACATTTATATCTCCCTGTGAGATATGCTATCTCTCTCTTAAATTTAATGCTTTTTTGTAGTTAAGTTCTTTGACTGAATAGATGTTCATATTCATGAGGAAACATTTTTTTTTCCACTCACATTCTTTGGGTTCTCCTGAGTGCATATCTGAGTAACGTCCCACATATGTTTAACTATATTCATGATACACTCAAGGGTTTCAATTGTTTCACTGTTAACAGCAGTACAACCTGAAAATTCATAAAGCCACATGAAGAATCTGTAGAATAAATCTTGGCAATATGGCCAACAAAACAAACATGTAAATGTACATAAAAATGCAAAAGATATGATAGCATCTTGTCACAAACAATAAAACTTTGGGAAAATCTAGGATATGATTTCTATAAGGTATGTAACACAAAACAGAAAGAAAGAAAAAAACATACCTGAGGCTTGTGGATCAACTTCAGCCCACACATCAAATAGTAGGGGAACAATAGTATTACTGAAGTTGTTCAGTTGGTTGGGATCACTGAAGAGCCAAAATCCATCTGCCTCACCTTGGACAGATTCAACACACAACAAGGGAGGCACACTACCAACCAATACAGTCTAAATGAAAGAAATACTGTTTGTATAATCTTTCTCATTTCAAACATTACACTAGAAAGTGGAAAGGAACTCCATGGATGTGTATGTACATATGGATATGGGTATGTATGGATGGATGGATGGATAAAAATCTATCTATATATATATCTATATATATACTGTATATATATATGTATACATATATATGATGTGCATAAGTCTATGTGTCTGTGTATATGTGTGTGTATGTGCATGTATGCATAGGTGTGTGGAGAAAAAAGTGTGAGAGACAATTAATTAGGTATTCACATATTTAATAACATGAATCTTTCCATAATAAGTAGGTTTCATCATAGGACCAAAGAGATAAGTGATAAACTGAACCAACCTGCCACATTGATTGTGGGATCTGAGATTCCACACGTTTCTGCTCCTTGACTAGTGCCTCAAGAAAGGCACTGAGTTCACTAAGTAATTTCAAGCGGAACTTGTGCCCTGTCAATGCACTGTTTGGGTCTACATGTAAAACCCGGTCAGTGCCTGCTATACTGTTGATCTTTGAAATGCTTCCAGATGCCTTTTTTTAGTTTGTAGGAAAAAAGATATAGAACAATGATAATTTATACAAATTGGTTTTGGTTCCCTTGCTTATCTATTATCAAGAAAATATGAAAAATAAACCAAATGCAAAAATTATCTGTCTATAGTGCCAATATGAATAAAGAACATAAAAAATAATTACAATCATTTCCTTTATATTACCAAAAAAACAAAACAAACAAAATTGTATTTCAGCATGTATTATAAGTAAACACTATTAATATAGACATATATTAAACAAAATTAATAAACCAATATTCTTACCTTCCTTGAGATGAGATTAATAAAATTCTTCAGGAGAGTATTAGCATGTCTTGCGATAAGTGATGGAGTGTGTACAACAAGGACATTCATCAGCTTCAAAGAGTCTGACTGGACTCCAACATTAAGGTGGGCCATAGCACA